TTTTTTTTTTTTTTTTCTGCCTTTGTGGAGTTTTTGGGGCGGTGTTTACAGACTCTTCTTCTCTGCCTCCGCCCTGCTCTTGGCCTGAGCTTCAAGCCTCTTCTGTTTTCTAGCCAGACCCGGAATAACGAAAACGCAGCTCGGGGAGCCCCCACCAGCCAGCGCCCGTGCCAGCTTCCCCCTGGCCATGGCGTAGCTGCGGGTGCACACGGCCGCCAAGGCCAGCTCCACATTCCTCAGTCCCTCTCCCCACTTCACCGGAGAGTGAGCCCTGCGCGCAGAGGAAGGGCCCCAGCTGCACAGACTGCCAAAGTCGACTGGGTCCCTCCTCACCAAAAATGGTGAGACAAGATTTCCTCTTGTGCACTGAGGAGCTGCGAGCAGGTTTGTCTGGGAGGGACGGCTCTAGGGGGAAGGCTTTGGGTTGCATCTCAAATTAGGCTTTGCTGGCTATTTGGTGGCCCTGCCAGGGAAGGGCTTCAAATCTGAATTATTTATTGAGCTTTGTGGTGGATCCTTAGTGATCAAGTTATCTGGATATTTTCTTAGTTTAACTTTCAAAAACTCTAACTCTGGAGACATTGTTACTTAGAGGGAGGCAGCTTGCTCGGTCCCTTCGTGTCTTGGATCTCGATATATATGAAATTATTTTCTTTTATCAGGCAAGCCAATGGCGTCCTGGCATGCCGTCACTATTTTTAAAAGTCTGCAGCTCCCAGTAGATACAGACTCGTAGCCACCAACCAGTGGTGATGGTTTGTAGAATTTGAATGAGCTCCGTGAATAATTTTGGGTCTCAATTTCTAGGATTTCTACTCACTTAGAAGCTAGAAAATCTCTTTCTCTCCCCTCCTTGTCCTTTGCCAAGGGACATAAAGGACTTGTTCATGGTTCCCAAAGCTGTTTCTTTGCCTCTTAGCCCTCCAGGCAGCCACCACAGGCTTGCTGTGGAAAAAGAAAGGTTTCAGGGCAATGAAGAACCGGAGTGTGCTCTGGGAAGCAAGCACAGAACTCCCAGCTCACTTCTTTTTCCCAGAAGCAAGGTCAAGATTCTTGCTTGATCAGCTAGTTGGCCCTGACCCTCCGTTGTTTTTTTGTTTGTTTGTTTGTTTGTCTTTGTTTTTTTCTACCAGGCTCAGTCAGGAATTCCTTTGGGATTACAGAGAGGTGCCATCAACTTGAATCCTGGCAATGACAATTTATCCCTTTGTGAGCTAGGCTAGGGAAGCCAGGGCACCCAATGAATGGGATCTGAGGCAGGAAGTGGCCCCTTGAGAAAGAGGGTGGCAGGCAGGGGTGGAGGTGTGCTCCCTCACTTCCCCCAAGGGGCCCTGACCCCGCAGCAAGGGCAAGGTGGGAGGGCGGTGGCAGTCCAGTGGCTTGGCCTTTGTTCCAGGAGCCAGACCCTTGGCAGGCATGGCTTTTTACCTCTTAGGGCAAGCCGGGGTGCAGGGGGGGGGCTTTGCTATCTTGGACTCTCCTTCTGAAGAAAGAGACCTTGGCTGAGTTTTTTTGGGGGGGAGTAAAGGGTAGGAGATTTGTTACCAGCCTGGGCTGGGGGGCCCTGGGCTCTCAGGGTTAGAAAAGAAAGGACAAAGGGAAACCAGGTTTTAATCGAGTTTGATTTTCACTAGCAAGTGAAATTTACCTGCTCTCACTTTAACTGGGAGGAGGCTGTCAGCGCTGCTCCCTGGCACTATTTCTCTGCATCCATCCAGCATTCGGATAAACATTCCTCGGTTGGTTTTAAAGACACTTTGTATCTCAAGATATTCATGTGTTTCTAATGTATCCAAGCAGCTTTACGAGCGGCATTTGCAGAACATCTTAACCCTCTCTCTCCCGCCGCAGAAGGGGTGGGGGCGCAGAGATAATGGCACCGGAGGAAAGATACAGGAGGGGGAAATGGCGGAGGGGCCGAGGCTAGCTTAGAGGGAAAGGGAAAGAGACGGGAAAACAGCTGAACAGGACAGCGCCTCGGAATCTGCAGTCCCCCAGACCATTGGGGAAGAGACAAGTGGAGGGCCGGTCTGCTTGCGGTGGGGCTTCTTGAGTTTCCCCACCCTACTCCCATCAGGGTGGAAGCTGTTCTCATTTTCTTAAGGAGAAACCTGAGCTGAAGCTGGTTAGTAGGCAGGACACTGGCCCATCCCGAGACACTTGCTCAAGTTTTGGTTCTAGATTTTTGTGCATCTGAAGCATTAATGGAGCAGCAACAGGCCCAAGGCTGTAGGAACAGTTTTGGACTCTGGGAAGTCACTGGGCACTGCGGTGACCCAATGCTGACACTGAAAATGGAAGTGCAAGATCCAGGAAGACCCGCTCAGATCCCACTTTGCCCGTTAAGATCCCCTCATCCCGTGGGTTTTGAGGACAGCAAGTTTGGGGGGGGGGGCACAGCTCTCCAACTGCCTGGTGGGGTCCTTCAGTGCCAGGCCTTCAAGGCCACCAGTGCATAGTAGTACCTGGGGAAAGACGGTGGCAGAGCCCTGGGAGGATCTCAGTTGCAGCGGAGCCCTGTAGTGTTGCTACCAGAAAGTCCCTGAGCAAGGTGAGGGACGTCCCCGCACAGTTTAGGACAGCCAGCCCCATGCCCCAGGCTCCTCTGAGGAGCAGCCGCCTCTGCACAATGCCAGCCAGCGGCGCCCTCCCTCCCCAGGGTTGGCGCAGACTTGCAATGAGGGGCGCCCTCCCGCCTCTGACACTGGCGGCCCTCAGGCTCGGGGAGGCCTGGGTGACCCCGCCAGTGGCGGTGGTGACGGCGAGGGGAGCGCCGCCCGCCCCGACGGTGCCCGCCGCTGCTCTGTTCTTCACGGGACCTGGACGCTCAGCCTTCGGTTAAAAGACCGGAGCAAGCGTCAGAAGCAGGGGGACTCCAGAAAGGAGGAATCGCCTTCCTGAAGGTCTCAGCTGGCCGCTAACTTCCCGGCCCTCGGGACTCCGGACCCACGCCACCCAGGGAGTGAGCTCCCCGTCACTCGGCCAGGGCACTGGGAGAGCGCAGGACGCCCGCCCGAGGAATCCGGGCGGCCGCGCGTGGAAAGGCCGAGCGGGCTCTGTCCCGACGGTATCTGCACCCCCCTCCCCGGCGGCCTGCACCCCCATTCCGGTTTGACGCTCCTGCCCGCAACGAAACAGGAAACCAGCGCCCGGCTTCGGATCCATTATGTCAACAAATATTCTGAAGACATTCGAGCTTTGGAAGGAACTGGGGGGTGTAGCCTTAAGCATGGCCCCGGCCGAGTCCAGGTTTTCTCGCCGAGAAACCCGCGCAGGCAGCCAGGCGGCCTGGGCCCGCGCGAGGCCATCTCCCCGCAAACCCTCAGGGCGCCCACGTCCCAGACCGGGGCTGCGAATTCTCCACGCGGAGAGCGCCCGAAGGAGGAACGCGCCCCGGCGCAGCGCCGGCGAGGGCCGTCAGGACGCAGACAGAGGTGCAATCAGACTTTTACCAGCGCGGTCTAGGCTGTAATCGTAACGACGTGTGAGCTCTGATACGCACCCGCGGATTCACACATCAAATGCGCCCCACACACGGCGCAAAAGACACCCAGGGTCACGTGGGCGAAACGCAGGCATCAGCCCAGAGGAAAAATAGTTCACCTCGTCGGAGCAGCCTGGGGACATCCTTGGGGGTGGCCGGCGCCTCCCCGCCCATTCTGATATTTCCTACCATTCACCGTTCCCTCCCCCCGCGGCTGTGCAAATACACCTGCCCCGGCGGAAGGCGAGACCCCGACGGCCGCTTACCTGGTCCGGGTAGCTCTGGCCGGCTCCGGGGCCCCGCGCGCAGCCGACCGGGGCGCGCGCCGCTCAGGGCGCAGTCGCAGCTCCTTTGTCCCGCGGCCCCAGCCCCGCTCGGCCCGGCGCGCAGGCCAACGAAGGAGCTCAATAAAAACTTTTGATATTAGTTTTTATGGGTAGTTACCCTCTGGTCCGGGGAGCTGAGTGCGGAAGCTCCATTAATCAGCTCCCCAGCCTCGGGTTTGGATGCTCAGTTTATGGGCTGGGGAAGGGAGGTCGCCGGAAAGCAAGCTCGGGGATGGCCGGCTGCTTCCCGAGACGTGCACAGGGAGCAAGTCGTTTTCCGTTCCTGGAAAACGCAGGTTAAATGGGTACCTCCGGGTGCTATTCCACTAGACTATGTTTTTACTTGAGCCCCCTGGCAGGGGTAATTTTTCCACCGTTGCCTAATACAACATTTAAAAAATCTTTTTATTATGGAATTTTCCAAATGCACGCAAAAGTCTAACGAACCCATATATACCCAACTCCCACTATTATCATTTTGTCTTTCAAGTTTCATTGCCCAGTTCCACTTTTTTTTTTTTTTTTTTTTTAGCATTTTATAGAAAATTCTAGACATGGCATGTTCCACTCCCAACACAGGGTTTTGAGGATACATTTCAAGGTTGAGCAAAACTGCTCAATAAAGAGGAATCCTTCCTCTGTCTGAGGGTAAGAGGTCAGTGTGTTTGAACTTGAATCGCTCTGATCGCAATCTAGCAAGAATTTAAGGATCCACCCAAAAGAAATCTGAACCAAAAAAGCGGCTTGGGGTGTGGGGCATCCTTCTTGAAATTCTGTGTCTCTTCTCTTTCAAATATACATACGAGGGAGACACATGCTACCCTTTCCAGGAGTGTGTCATTTTTTTAAGAGATGATTGCTGCAGCTGCATTAGGATTTGGGGGAGAGATGAAAATCATGGCTCAGTCCTTTCTATGTCCTAAATTGACATATATTCCCTTTTAATTGGACAAATGACACTTTTGCATTTCAACACACCTCCTCCCCTGGTAGAACCAAAAAGAGATTTCTAATGATTAAGCCAGGAAAAGCATGTTTGTACAGCAACCACAGTTTCCAAAAATAAATGCAATTCGGTGTGTTTTTTAAAAATATCAACAGCAGTAAAAGATTTTTTTTAAAAAAAAGAATAGATAAAGGCATTGTGGTTTATTTTGCTTTAATTCAGCAATCTAATTGATAATGAACGTAATCCTGCCCAACAAATTCTGAAGTGTGGTTTACCTAAGAGCCTTGGCAACTTTTGGAAGCAAAAGGGCAGAAATAAAAAATAGCAAACCATTGAATTGGACGGGTCCTGCAGCAACCAGCTACTCCAAAAATGCGAAACTTAACTTGTCTGAGAGGATCTGAATTGTCCGTCCTGGGCAAAGTGCTGGATTATTTTGTGTTCAGATTGCTCATGGTTCCTTAACCACCTTTTTTTGGGGGGGGGGCGTTGTTAAATATCTGGGATGCCTTTGCTCTAGGATGCTCTTATGCTAATATATGCTAATGTAACCGCTGGTCGCATTAGAAAAGAGCTATTTGTCTGTCGTAAGGAATGTGTAAATTAAGCAAGAGAACTGTATGCTCAGATTTTACATCACTCTCGAACAACTCCAACTGCACCCAGCAGGAGCCCCTGGAGATGCTGCCCTGAGTCCCTGCCCTGCTGCCTGGGGGGCATCAGCAAGATTGGTCCCCATCGGGGCTTTGGGTACAGCAGCTCCTTCGAATGTTTCTAGTCTCCTGACTCCAGGATGGAGTTCACCCCAGGGTCCCGGTCAGGGTCAGGTTAGGGACGGCAGAAGTGAGACGATTTGGAGGAAGGGGGTGAGAGGAAGAGATGCCCTCACAGAAAAGCTGGGAGACAAAGACGAAGGGAGGGATGGGAGGGCAAAAAATAAGAAGCAAAGAAAGCATGATTTCCCACAAAAAGTCAAGCCAAGCAGCAGAAGGCAGGCCTGTGTTTTTAAAGCTCTGCAGAAGCTCATTCTCTGCGGAAGCCGGTTCACTGAAGAAGCCTGGCTGGGGGCCCCCGCTGGCCAGGATCGAGAAGCGGATACTTAGGCTGTGAGCCTCCCTGAGACTTCTTTAACTGCACAACAGTAATCTGGGTTTTGAGAAACTGATTGGAGTCCAGAATTAAATGTGGGCTTGAACTTCTGCCGACAGAAAACGCAGGCAAGGAATTCTGGCTGCTATCAGCTGTCCCGGCACAGGTCTCGAGCCAGACTTGGGACAACCAATGGAGCCTGCTAGCAATTATGTGCTCTCAGCCACTTTTAAAAAGGCCATATTTCTTTACATTTCTAGGACCTAATGTGGGGTTATGTCGGGTCATGGGACCCTTGGCTGGTGCAAAGTAATTTGATGTCATTGAGAGCAAGCAGACTCGTTTGTCACCCTGAGGAAAAGACGTCCCCACAGGCCTGAGATGGGAGCAGAGCAGAGTTGGCAGGGGCTGTGGGATCCAGTGACGGGTCCAATGCTGGCTTAGCTAGGTGGGCTGGGAGAGGGGCTTTCTGGGTGGTGTGTGTTGGCGCAGGGAAGCAAGAGGTCAGCTGTGCTCCAAGCATGGACATCAGCCCATTGAGCTCCTGTGGGACCCAGACTGCTCCAGGGCCCTGGATCTCAAGTTCATTGGCTACAGGATCCAAATCTGAGCTTTTCATTCCCTGAAGTTAAAGCTGGGTAACACAGCTGTAGTCCTTCCTCCCACCCCCACTCGCCGCTGCTCCAGTGGTCTGTATTGGATGCAGTACAACCTAAGGGAGCCTGCCTACCGGTGGGACAAGATTCACCTGGCTGAGAGGTGAAGAGGAGTGGGCAGAAGGGGGCCGGAACCCCTATATCTCTTTGGGGATGCACTTTGGTGTGTGATAGGGCTGGCTAAACATCTTGGGCTTCAGGCATTTGCCTAGGATGGTCTCATCCACTGTTTCCAGTTACTTTCAGTTATTTGGTGTTGGTTGGTTTTTTTTTGGTGGGGGGGGAGGGGGAGGTAACAAAAAGCCAAAAAAGAGGGTTCCCTGAGCTCTCCTTTGAGAATCAGGGAGGGACCAAGCTCTAGAGTATGGGTACCTATGGAGAAAGCATCTTGATGGGCAAAAGGAGGAGGGGCCATGGAGGCCGTTTGTGACGGCCCTGGACTGAGCCTAAGGCAGAGTCCTCCCGCGGAGGGCAACTCTCAGACGTCATCTCTGCCACCTGCAGTCCCCCCCCAGAGGGCCTGGGAAGTCTACCAGGAGAGCTGTGGGCACACTGCGGCCGGCTCAGGGGTGGCTCCTGGGATTCCCACATTGAAATGTGACCCATACGTATCCCTTGGCCTCTGTATCCTCAGAAAACGTCCGAGTTCTGCTCTTCCTCCCTGACAACTCCAAGAGGATGCGATGCCACAAGAAATGGAACAAGACGGGGAACTTAGACTCAGCCCAGGAGGCCCGGAGGAGGGAGACGCCCGCCGCACACAGGTGAAACCCGCTCCTGGAGATGCTGCAGCTGGCGACTCTCAGGCAGACGGGGAGGCGGGGGAGGCCGCCTGTCCTTTGCGTTGCCTCTGGGTCGGAAGAGGCGCTGGTGCTGCGGACAGAGCCCAGGCAGGACAGCATCCCGCACGTGGGGCGCGCTCCCCAGGGTCCCGAGAGACGCCCAGGCCGAGGTGGAAATTAGGAAGCGGACAGGGCAAGGTCCGATGGCCCCACGACGGAGATGGGGCGAAAATCCGCCCGCAGTCCCTGGGAAGCCGGGCTCCTCGGGCTGTGCGGTGCGCCCGGCCCGCCTCCGGGTGGGATGGCCTTCGGACCTCCGGCCTCCCGTGGATTTTTGCCGCGGCCTGTTGGTCCCCAGAGTCACTCAGGACCCGTGAGGAGAACCCTCGCTGGTCGCTCCAGGACTCCGCCCAGCCCTGGTGGAGGAAGTCCAGGGGCACTAGGGCGCGAATGCGGGGATCCTGGGCCCCTCGCGCCCTCAGTGGGCCCCTCAGTCCCTCCACCTGGAGGGGGGAAAGCCAATGAGAGCTGGGCCTTTCCTCTGAGGTGGAAGCTGCGCCTCGGCCCCGAGATCTTCAGGACCGTCCCTGCTTTGCAGGGGTGGCCAGGGAAAGCCGGTCTCGGTCTCCGCCCTGCCACCCCCGCGCAATCCTGCGGGAGTCGCGGCGGAGGTGGGTCGCCGGAGGAGGCCGGGCGGCGCGGCTGCAGTTCCGCCCTCTGCCCACTAGGTGTCTCCCAGTTAACCGGACGGCGGGGAGCCGCGGGTTCCCGGGGCGCCAGCCTCGGTTTCCCCCCGCTTTTGGAAGTGTGTCGTTCCTCTGGGAAAGCAACCAGTTTTCTTTCCTTTTTTTTTTTTCCTGCCCCCTCCTCGCCCCGCACTCCAGACCCTGGCTCTGGAAATCCACCAGAATCAAACGCTGGCTCCCTGCGGGCCTGCGTCGGACCGCTCTCGCCATTGGAATCTTTTTATGACCTTTGATGTGTTTAAATAACATAGCGAGGCTGAGCACACACCTCGGATTAAACTTTAATCGGCAGCAGCCAAGGTCGCCCAGGTGGTAAACGCGTTTCCTCCGATGTCTCCTGGCGGACACTGCGGGGTCCGAAGTCTGGGGCTGTGGCCCCCACTGTGCCCTCCCGCCTCTGCCCAGGCCGGTGGGGGCCAGGACGAGGGCCATCCCATCCAGCTCCAAAGAGGGCTGAGGAAATGGGATCGGACGCAGACACCCAGGGTGGGCTAATGACCTGAACACAGTTTTTATAGCTACTAGACAGAATAGTTAAAAATTCCAAGAGGCACTTCCAATTTCCCCTGACTCCAGAGAATGGTTGGAGATCCAAAGTCATGGTCAGGGCCTTGATTGTTTCCCCCAGGTTGCCCAAGGAGGGGTGGGAGGATTGCTGGTAATGATGGTGCAGCCAAATTAGCTGATTGTTTTGAAGCTTGCCAAGCCCATTTTGGGTAGGTGGGGACCTAGAACCCAGGCCATACAAGGATAGCTTGAATTTCAGCTGGGCTGAGTCACCGGGGCTCAACATAATTTTCTGAACCAATACACTCATCATAGAGAATTGTCTTGGGCAGTTACTTAGGTAAAAACCCAAGGCCAGGGCAGCATATATAGTGAGGGCCAGCAGTGTGCTCTTAAAAAGGGGATGTGTACATAGGGCTGGAGAGCTAGACAAACCATCAGTAAAAGTGGCTTCCTCTGGGGAGAACTGGGGGCCAGAGGGTCCAGTGGAGAATTCACTTTTTGCTATCAATTCTTTTGTATTGCTTGCAATTTGCACCAATATTATGTGTTAGCCATTGAGGCAATACTTTTCAGAAAATAGGGTGTCTCATTTATCCCATGACCAAACATGCTTTTGGGGAATTCCTTCTACATAGCAAACCAGACTTGGATTCAGGCGAGACATTGAAATAAGGCACCTAAAGCTCAGGCCAGAGCCTTACTGGCTATCCAGTCAGATTTCCATCTCCTGGGAGGGATTCTCAGGCCTTTCTCTGCTGGGCTGGCCCTAACCTGGAAATGAACCTGCCAGCCCAGAATATAAAACCCCAGTCATTCATAGCAACGGGAGAACTCCATTGTCTCAAAAGGAATTAAAGCCTGATCTTCAATCACACGCCCCCCCCATCCCTGAGTGCCTGAGGGTTTATAGACAAGGCCCCTACCTGCTCCTTCAGATTAGAGATTCCCACGGCCCCTAGCCATGGTGCGAATAGTAAATATTTTTTACGTGTATGTGTATATTTGGTGTATCAATTCTTGTCCCCAAGTTTCAAGAAGCTCCACATACTTGACTGGGGTGCTGACTACTTGAATTAGAGACAATATTACCACTCACTAAAGTTAGTTTTAAAAGTGCTTCTTCATGGAGCCTTTTGGGGGCCGGTAATGCTCTATATCAGGACCTGGGTAGTAGTTACACAAGTGTATACACATATAAAAATTCAGCGAGCTGGGTGCTTAAGATTTTTATGCTTTGCTATATGTAAGTTATATGGCAATAAAAAAAAATTTAAAGTGCTTCCTCATAACGACCTGTGAAGTAGGTCCCGAGGTTGTTATAATCGTCTCCATTTTACCGGCAAAGCAACTTAGACTCAGGGGCAGCTGGA